GTCCGAGACACAAGAATGAAGTTGAGTATCATGGAGACGTGAAGACTAAAATAACCGAAGCACGGTTAGAATTGCTAAAGTATTGCATTTGAGTAGTTATGCTGTAAAAACTATAAATACCCCCCACCCCAGCAAACACACAAAACTTGTTTTTTTAATAGTCTTTCAATTCCTATACTATAGCTGTAGTTTTTAGATATCTCGTCGTTGATTAAATTCCGACAAGTATCTTAGCTATAGTAGATATTATTGCCAGTCAATCTATTGGAGAACCAGGGACTCAACTAACATTAATAACCTTTCATACATTTTTTTTAAGACTCAAATATAGATAACGCTATTTTACATTTTACTTACTTAATAGTATAGAAATGCAGCCATGTCCTCTGCATCGACCTGATTTATGATACCATCGAAGTGAAACAAGGGGTCTAAAGAAAGAAGAGAAGAGGCTAGACTATATTAGTGTTTACGCCAAAAAATAGCCAACTTGTCGACATGGTTCGTTTGTGCCAAAGATCATCAAGGGACACATGACGGAGACCTGAGGTAACGTGGAAGCAAATATCATCAAGTTACCAACATAAGGGACACATGTCTCTGACATGTGTCATGTGTATAAATTTACACCCAAAAATGATCAATTTTTGGGTATTATTGACAAGACTGGTCACGACTTCATCAAGGAAATTTCAGTTCTGCGCTAGCTCGGGAAAATGGTCATAACTTCTTCGAGACAGATCGGATTGACCTAATTCCAAAACCAAAAGAACGAAGACTCATGGATCTACAACTTTTATGTTTTGAGTTTTCTCAGAAAATCACTGTAGAAGCCATCAAGGTTAAAGGAAGTCGACGGTCGTGACTTCATCTTGTCGATACTTCGACGAAATTGCTGTTCTGCGCTAGTTCGGGAAAATGGTCATAATTTCTTCGAGACAGATCGGATTGACCTGATTCCAAAGCCAAAAGAACGAAGACTCATGGATCTACAACTTTTATGTTTTGAGTTTTCTCATAAAATCACTGTAGAATCCATCGAGGTTAAAGGAAGTCGACGGTCGTGACTTCATCTTGTCGATACTTCGACGAAATTGCAGTTCTGCGCTAGTTCGGGAAAATGGTCATAACTTCTTCGAGACAGATCGGATTGACCTGATTCCAAAGCCAAAAGAACGAAGACTAATGGATCTACAAATTTTATCTTTTAAGTTTTCTCAGAAAATCACTGTAGAATCCATCAAGGTTAAAAGGAAGTCGACGGTCGTGACTTCATCTTGTCGAGGACTTCGACGAAATTTCAGTTCTGGGCTAGCTCGGGAAAATGGTCATAACTTCTTCGAGACAGATCGGATTGACCTGATTCAAAAGCCAAAAGAACAAAGACTCATGGATCTACAACTTTTATGTTTTGAGTTTACTCAGAAAATCACTGTAGAGTTTTCGACATTAAGAGGAAGTCGACGGTTGTGACTGGTTGGAGATGCAGAAAGAAGAAGTAACCGTCAACATAGTGGAGTCAAAGCAGCCGCCAACGTAGTGGAGTAAAAAGAAAACTGTCAAGGTAGTGGATTCAACGTAACTGTTGGAAACCACTAAGGAGCATACATGCGAGAACAGTTACTTGGAACCATGATTATGAGGAAGTTATCACTTGTGGACAAGATCGTGAAACAGTTATCTTGAAAGCAGAATCATGGCATCACATGGACATGAAGACAAGATTTTCGGAATGGAAGAACATGGGCACAACTGTTGAAAACTGCTAAGGAGCAGTTACCACACGACCATTATAAATATCACCGGCCATCTACCGGAGAAAGGACCCCCGACAAAATCAAACAACATGTTATCTTTCAATTATCTTTACTTTCATGTACCGCACTTTATCTTCCTTAGCTTTAGCTTTCCGATTCGCGTCGTCGATTAAATTCCGACATTTATCTCTATCCCGAGTGTTGCGTCGTCGATTAAATTACGGCGTTACATCTTTGTGTACGTGTGCGGCTGTATTTTCAAACTTTGTCGTCGATTAAATTCCGGTACGGTTTGTACATATAGTCCGGTTCGAAGTTCGGAGTAAAAGTTCGCCGTTTTTCCTTGTCTCCCTGGATATTTTCTGTCCGGAGTCGCCATGGAACCCGGTCTCCTCACATTAAGAACCGAAGAACGACTTTCGGTGAATTATATTTCGCCGCAGGAGCATTTTCCGGTGAAACAATTAGTAACAAGTAAAACACTGTATTTAATTATTTAATTGAAGGTAAAATAAAAAAAATTCAAGATATTTTGGGGATAAAGTTCAATTGCAAGGTCTAAGACGACCCAGAAAGCACTTGATTATGATGAACTTTGTAAGCTTACAAACATGTTGGTCGACCGTATTTTGAAACATGGAAAAAAAATCATTGTCTTATCAAATTATCGACAAGGTTTAGAAAGTCTTATGATAGTTTCTAACAAATTTGATTGTAGCTCCTTCTATTTCCATTGGGAGTAGGGATGCGGCCGGTTCATGAAACCTTAAAAAAAAGTTGTTTGTGGAACGGAAGACTTTGCTTCAAAGACCATTATTACTTCATCCAAACTTACGTATTCTGCATTTCCTGTAACTATTATATCATCAACATAAAAAAAAAAGTACCATAAACAGTGTGAATTCCCTTGTCATTAATATGTTGACTAACCTCTCTTATAGGCTTAAATGTTAAAGCCAAGCTTGGTAATTGAAATTTCGAAAGCGTCGATGTCTCTTCGATTGTCATTAAACAAATCTCGAGTGAATATTTATGTGCTCGCTTTTAGCCCTAGATGCACTTCTGGTCATGAAGAAGAGAGGAAAAAACCACCATTTTAACATCCTTTGTGCCAACAGGCATTGCCGCCTTACTGGTAGAGGGATTAGGGGATGGGGCCAAAGAGTATCAGGTCCAGGATTCGATACCTGTGAGCATTAAATGATAGAAAATTTTGGTCCTAACCAATATAGAATAGCACGATGAAATTTATTAGAACAATTTCAAAAAGGGTTGTTGTACTCCTATTTAAATTGTGATAACTATACTGAAAGTCCTAAAACTTGTCATGAAAGTACAGTTGAGTCCTAATACTTTCAAAAAGCGCAATCAAATCCTAAAATTAGTGGAATCAAGTTTTTTATTAAGTCCGTCCAACTTGGCTAACGAAAAACGCTAAAGTGGCTTTTTATTTATTTATTATTTTCTCTCTATTACATGACGCTAATGTGGCTAAAAATGAAGAACAAAGCCAAGCGATGCCGTTTTGGTCCATATCTACTTTTTTAATCTAAATACTATTTTTTGACCGAAAAAAATAAATCTAAATATTTAAAAAAAAAACAAAAACAAGGGACGGCAGAAGAGGGCGAGGGCTTCGCCGCCGCTGCCAACCATTGCCGAAAAGGGCCGACGATGGTGAGGCGAGGGCTGATTGGGCCTTGGCCAATGGCTGGCGACCTTGGCCAATGGCTGGCGACCTTGGCCGATCACAGGCAAGGGCCTACTGGCCCTCCGTTAGATCTAAGTGAGGGCAGGCGACCCTCACCCAGGCCGGCAGGCCCTCTCCTGTATGGCGATAATGGGCAGCAGCGGTGAGACCGATATTACATCCCTAGAGGATGTCCATTCTCTAGAGGAGAATTCTGTTGTTGTTACGATCCCCTTTTCATTTCAACGACCAATGGCCAAACCGACATTACGTGCTTCCACTGCCACCACTCCAATTGGTGAATTGGAACTTCGATCCTCGAAGTCTCGGAGGAAAGGGTGCACGGTTATGTTCCGTTTGATTCCATTTCGGTTTAAAGTTTGAATCCAACTGAATTATTCTCCATTTTTCCGATTTTCTTTTTTTATTAAATAATTAAATTTTTATATTTCAAAATAATAAGACGGAGCACACAAGCGAACTACGCACACCAAAACACCCAAATAGATTGAGACATCTTTCTAAGAATTAGGAAAAAAATAAGTCAAAGTGACATCTTTTTTGTCGCCAGTCGAAAAATATTACAAATTGGTAAGTTTGTCACATTAGTTCATACCTTGAGGGGACAAAATTAGAGTTTTATCGCCTTAAGTAAAATTTAAATGACAAAATTTAAGACGACAAATTATTAAACTTTGTTGCCTTAGGTGTACCCTAAAGCGGCCATTGGTATACTCTAAGGCGATAAATAAATTTTTTTGTAGGGTAAATGACACAAATGATTTTTGAATTTAACTAAATGTGCAATGTGACCATGAACTTTTAATTTATTCAATATAATCCTTGAACTTTAGCCTAATTTGCAATGTCTTCATGATATTTTAATTTGTTCAATATTATCCTTGAAATTTTGGTAAATATTCAAACTAATCCCGAGACTGAACTAATGATTGGATGATATTGGATATTTTCATATACTCCAAGGATTACTTTGAACATTTACAAAAAAAATTCGGGGATCATATTGAACAAATTAAAAGTTCAAGGACGACATTGCACATTGAGCTAAAATTCAAGGATTACATTGAAGAAATTAAAAGTTCAAGGATCACATTACACATTAAGTTAAAGTTCATGGAGCATTTGTGTCATTATCATTTTTCTTATGGTCTCTAGTTGGACTGGCAATAAAAAATTTCCTTGAATGAGACAGAAATTAGTATTAGATTTTTAATAAGTAAGCGTAGTACTGAATTACGAAAATACCCTAAGTTCTTGCCCTTTTTTTTTTTCATTTTTTTCCTTTCCTTCCGTCTCTGTTCGTCCTCCCGCACCTGGCAAGGCAGCACTCGTGACCGTCTCTCTCGTGTCCCTGTTTCTTGTATGATATGTGCTGCAAATTCCAGGCGAACAATCGTCACTCGAAGGTACGCATCTCGTGATCCCCTCCCCCATTTCTGCGTCAAGCTTTCCATCGTTTTGTTTGGACTTGTTTCATTTCCCTCGCTGATTTGGGCATCTTCAGTTGCGATACCGAGCACCCATTGAATGCCAGATTGAGGGTTGTAATTCGAGTAATATGATCATGTGGGTACAAGTGCTTTGAAGGAGGCTTGGCTTTAATCTTTGTTCAGTTGTAGATTCTTGTGCTATCCGATTGGCTTCTGGAAACCATCTTGTAATCCCTAGTTTCTTTAGTCTTTTCGCTTACAGAGTTGAAGCACCCTTTTTCTTTGCTGGTCCTTGATGCTCTTTTGCTTATGGGTTGTGTGGTTCTTGATTTTGAACGGTATTATGGTTGATCTGGAATTGCATTTGCGTCCGTGTTTAAGAAACAAGTGTCCTGGAAGACTGCCCTCGATCAAAATCTTCTAACCAAATCCCTACTTTCGACTTGAATTCAGTACTGGGGAAATGCTGGGTCAAACCATATAAAGATATGCAATCCAATCCCTCGCGAATGTTTCGTTTTTTGAAGTTTGTCCTTTCTATACCATATGGGAAGTGCTGTTTGTGCGAGTGAATATGCTAGAATGTTAGGAACGAGAAACGTTTTATTGGACGCTGAAAGAGGTTTGGTCAGGGTGCTCAATCTTTGCATCTGCAACAAGTAAGACTAACGAAAAGAAAATGTGAAGGGAGGTGGTGGCAACGACATGAGACAAACTCGAAACACAGAAATTTGGTCCACTGTTTTCCATATTGTTATTGCTACACTCATGCTTTTGTCTTCCGTTGCTGACCGGAAAGAATGCACATTACTAGAGATTGTTATTTTCTCCTGAGGATTCAGCATTGGTTGAGGTATTGGTGTAAATACTATTTATAAAAAAAAGGCAGTAGCTGATCTAGTTTGGGCACCAAATTATGGTCAACTGCCGATAATTAGATCTCCTCGTTCTCAGAGGTATTTTGTGGATAAACTTGGTAGATGATGATCTGGCAGAAAATATGTAACAGATTGGAGTTTTACTGAAAAAAATCTTTCTTGGAGTTTTGGTCGTTAAGTCCAGTCACTACCTTTTGGAAAATAGCTAAAGCATCTATGTGGCTGTATTGATGCTTGGATGCTAGCTCTGCACATACAAAGATCACGGCATATCTTCTACCGGGAAAATAATTTAACAATCTCAAAGTTAATCAAATGCTTATAGCCTGGAGGAAAACTATCACTTGAAAGTCCCTTTCTACTAAATGGTTTATGCAGATACCGGAATTTCTTTAGAGGATGGTGATTTTCAGATTAACTTCGGTTACCAGTTCAAAGAATTTTGGTCTTCGGTTTATCATTTGAGGGAGATACTTTATTTGTTGTCAGGGGATTAAGCCACTGCAGTTATGAGAGCTACTTTATAACTATCTGGGCTTTCCGCCAAAAGGGGAAAAAAGAAAAAAGAATCAATGGGAAACAGAACTAGTAACGACGATCCAAATTTTGCTCAAGATGGAGAGGTTTTTGTCAACTGAAACTGACCTAAATTATCTTCATCACTTCAGCTGCATATACTTTACAGGTTTCACTCTGACCAATGATTATGATATCCTGACCTGAAGCTCAAGGGGATCTCTCGCTTTCCTCTTTCCTATGCATGACTTGTGGTGTTGCGTGCTGCTTAGAACATCAGCACTCTTGTTTCTTCGAGCGATGATTTCTGGGTGCTTGTTATGCATTTTTGCTCCGCCTAATGATGTTGGACCACATAAACTTTGTATCACACCCCTATGAAGCATCCTTTTTCAAAGATGTCTTTTGACTTTCTGATATGCTTGTTTTGGTTATAGTTCAGTGAAAGCATTGGTTCTTCTGCTGACATATATTTGCTTCAAGCTTTGGCTGAATTTTTTGTCTACTGCTTCTCAATCAAATGTTTATTAGTGTGGTTTCCGTTATTTTAGAAATAATCACTGTGGCATGGGTTTAATTGAACAAACTTGATTTTAAACGAAGAATATACAGCGTGATCTGCATCTGAATAGATTACTCTATTCTATGTCTCAGGATATATGAAGACAACTGTAGATGGAAGAAACGTGCAAGGAAATAGAATTAAACTCATTGCCGGCAGGGGTATATGTCTTGCCTGGAGAACCTGCTATAGTAATTAATGGGGTGCCAAAGTTGAACTCTAGCAATGGCCCTCCTGCTTTTTCTGATTTCAAGCATGAGCCGAAGTCACCCGACTTCCAAGGCTTCGGTGAATGGATTGAAGGGAGAGAAGTTTGGAAACTGTTTGAAGGGCGATATTTTTCTGGTACTGTTGTGCAGTTTGATAAGGAAACCGGCTGGTACAGGGTGGTCTACGAAGACGGAGACTCTGAAGATCTTGAGTGGCATGAGCTGGAAGATATTCTACTTCCTTTGGACATCACAGTTCCTCTGAAATCATTGGCACTAAAGGTCATCAGGAAAGGCCAGAAATCCACTAACAAAAGTCAAAGGAGCTTGATACCGTATCAAAAAGGTAAGACCACTAATTCGGGAACAAGGTGAAGATAAGCGAGGGCGGTCGAGGAAGCTGGTTGCTGGATTCATACCATCTGAGTGCAGACGCTGAGCACCGCGGATCGGCCAAAGGTTGGTAAAAGTACCCTAGGAATATGAACGGACCATAAATGATTTTGTGCCCCAATTATTTCGCTCCCTATCTTAGGTGTCATTTTCCTTCAAAACTCGTCTTTGTTAAATTGATTTGAACACTGTTGACACCTGAATTTTCTTTACGGGTCCCTAAGAAATTTTGCTAACCATGAAAAGATTACAAAGAGTTAACCCAGTTTGATCGGAACCGACTCGGCCTGTTAGGCCCAGTCGGATAAAGCTCGGCCAATCCGACCCTGAATTGTGTTTTTTTCTCTCTACAGCCCAAAATTTCCACGCCATGTGGTGCCTCATCGTTGGCTCGATTCTCACCATTGTGAGGTTGATACTTGCCACCACCATACCAAACCCTAAAGAAAACATAGCTTATTGGCTTATTCTACTTTTGGTAAGAGGAGGGAGCGGCAAAAAGAGAAAGGGACCATTGTGCAGGGGTACAAAAAGAACGGAGTAACGAAGGGGAAGCGGGGGCCATTTTCTCCCAAAAAAAAGAGTGCCCGATTTTCTTCACGGCCACCTGCGAACTCCCTAGTCCTTCGCCTCGCTCGACTGGTCACCTCTGTTGTCGCCATCCGACGTCTTCCCGCTCCCGATTCCCAACATTTCCAATGAGTTTCTTTAGTTGCTCAGTTCGAGTCCTCTCTTCCCCAGAGGATCTCGGTTCGGAAGCTTCTTGAGATGGTCGACCACAGTTCGATTCGCCTTGAGCTTGCCCTCCGGCTGCCGTCTCCGAACCGGGTAGGGGCCTTGTGGTTAAACGTTTGTTCCGCGCACCCCTTTTTGTGCATTGTCCAGTTGTAGTTGAGTTGGAAACGGAGGCTCGTTCTTTTCAGTTCGTGCGCGTGTCGGGTATTAATGAGCGGCTGTTGTCAATTTCAAGCATTCCTTACTGTTTCTCTTTGAGTCCGGATGCGAATTCGAGTTCTGAATTGGTCATTGCCCTCTTCCCAGTCCGCGGTCACCACCTGCTCGTCAAAATGTCCAGATTAAGTTAGAGTAGACGTGTTCTTGTGCATAATTAGTCTTGTTGACAATTTGTCATCGAAGAGGGGCGTCCGTTTTTGTGAGTTTGTAACTTTCTTTGAGCACCGGGAAATGGTCGGAGTTTTGAGACGAACGCCACGGAGAGAGAGTGTTGGCTAGAAGCAACGGGGAGAGCCGGCCTGGTGGTGGCCGAGCGATCGCCGGTCGTGGTGGTGGTTTGGCTGCTCAATCCTGGGTCGCTGGGCCAGACAATCAGGGCAAGCTGTTGGCCTAGGCTGGCCGAGAGGAGGTCGGCTGAAGGGTGCTCGAGCTACTGGGACGGCCGAGTGAATGACCGCCGCTCGAGGTCTAGGCCGGCCAATAGGAGGCCGGCTGAGTGCCTCTCGATCAAAGGTGGCCGAGAGGAGGAGCTGCTCTGCCGGACGAGAGGTTGTGGGCTGGGTCTCGGGCTGGGCTGGTCGAGTTTGGGAGTATGGTTGGGCTTAGTTTGTTTTAGGGCCTAGGGTCTAGGTTAGCTGAATTAGAAGAGTGGGTTGGGTTGAATAGGGAATAGGATTTGGGCTAGGTCAGACCGGGCTCAATATAGGAGCCCGGAGCAAAGCCCCGGTTCGGCCCTTGCCCTTGCCCAAATTGAGCTTAAGGGCCCCAAACCGGGTCCGGTTCTTTTTTAATAAAAAAAACATTTTTCAAAAAAATTACAAATTCCAAAAAAAAAAAAAATTAGAATGTTGGTTAGGAAAATTCTGCTTCTTGCTTTCTTAGGGTAGTTCATGCATTTGCCTGGTTGATCTTTAGTTGACTTGTGTGCTTAAAATAAAATTTTTCGACGCGAATGATAACAATTTTGTTTTTCTGTTTTTTTTATTTTTTTTGTTCCCAGGAACAAGCTTGGAACATAATCCATTTGGCAATACAATTTCACTTTTTTTAATTTTTTGGACAAATTTTTAACCGAAAAATAGGTTTGAAATAGAAATTAAAAGTAGATTTTTTTTTACTTTTCTATTTCAGGAACCAAAAGAGCAAAAAGAATTCTCTTTTATTGCTCGCCCTCGCCGCCCCCCACCGCCGCCCACTGGCCGTCCGCAGCCGCTTGTCGAGGCGGTGGGCGAGTTTTAAGAATAACCTATCAAACGAATTTCTATTCTGAGAATAGAAATTTTATGTCGTTATCAAATGTTACTTTTTGCTCATAAATTCGTCCACGGAATAGAAATAAAATTTTCTATTTTCAGCTAGAAATAGGATTGGGAAAGAGAATGGTTATCATTCGCACCCTTAATCGTGGATGCTTTGATTGCCTTATGTTCTTCGGTAGTTAGCTTAAGTGGGGAATTAGAATAATTAGGGATAATGATGTTAGTCTGCTGCTTTGCAAACAAGTGGGGGTTGATGATCATCATCCCTAATTAATTTGTCCCTAATTAAATTAGAAGGCGATCGAATTGATGATGAATTGTTTTTCAACCTTGATTAGTAATACATGATCCTCGGCAGGTAGTTTAGGAAGATGATTCGAATCTAATTAGGAATCAATGATGTTAGCCTATGCTCAGCGAACATAAGTGGGGGTTAACAACCATTGCCTTTAATTAATCCATAGTTTGATTAAGAGATGGTTGGGTTGATTGATTGCTTGTTTGTTTGCCGATAAGCGAGTGAATTAGGCTTATCCTAGATAGAATTTAATCTCTAATTTCAGGCTTATGGGGTTCATGTTCCGAGGTTTAAAAACAAGGCCATGTATTTTATTTGCCTGACAAGTATCGATTTTTCTTCCTTGTACCTTACTTTAAACATTTTCAATGCTTGTGTTCTTAATGCTTGCACTTTTAATACTTGGTTGTTTCATTGCGCATTGCACTTCAATAACTTGTTTGTTAATTTCCTTTCTAAAATGGTCAGGGCTAGTTTAGGACCGTAATAAACCTTTCAAGAATATTTGCATGATCACTTGGTAGCTTTGACACCTTAGGATCATAATTGGTAAAAACATGCTTGATCACTTATATAACGACTCTCCAAGTTAATGGTACCGCAAGGGTGTTAATAGGCATTAGCATTAGCGTAATCAAGTCCCCACACCTAATTAATTTCTGGTTGCGTAGGAAGTGAGACATCTCATGTCTTGCTTGATTTCAAGCCGATTCCGAAAGGCTAGTAGCGACTCTTTTCACACGTAGAATCCTTAGGAATTAAGCGAAACTTAAAATGAAATCTAAGGCCACACCTAATCGAGGGCCGTTGGCCCGATTTTGGGCATTACCCCTAAACCTATGTCTTTTCCCCCCTTCAGACAGAAAAGGTAGGTCGCAACAAACAGAGACTACACTTGATCTCAACCAGAAGGCCGAGAAAGGCATCTGCTCTGTCTTTCTTCTCTTTGCTGAGGATCATACCAGAAAAAAGCTGCCTAAAAAGAAGTTACCAACTTCTGGATTTGTCGTCTCTTTATAAAGGTATACTTTGCTATGATCTTCCTGCGGGCTCGTCTTTAGGTGCATCTATCATTCAAATCATCCGTTTATGCACTAGGAAGCAGGCCATCTCAGGACTACATTTCTTTAACTAATCTAATGTCGACTGTGCTTACTACGACCATTCTGAGTGGCGAATGTACTAGGAAGCAGGTCATCTCAGGATCACATCTCTCGTGAGGCACTTTGTCAAATTCCCGGCGGCTACCATATCGCAATTGATGTTATTTGGTGTAGGTGCCACCTGATTTATCTACGTTCGGCATTGGAAAATTCCACTTTGATGACTGTGTGATTCACTTCAGAGTGTCTTTTTCCAGTTTACTTTTCTCAGTGCCTGCCAAACGGATAACATCAACCACCCATATCACTTTAAAAGTAAAGAGGCATGCGTACGGGGTAGCGTTAGAGAATCCTAGTCGCAACTCATTCCAAGTGTGAATGCATGGCTGGGCCACGGATCTTCGATTCGATTCGTTTATTGACGATGATCGATTGATTGATGTCCTTCGAATGTGGAAAATGTCCGGGAAATTGGACGGTGGCTCGAGCGACTTGAAGTACCAATACTATGTTAATGGACGCAAGCATCGCATGCGAAATTGACATGTTGTTGCAAGAAAATCAAACCCTAAGAGAGAGAGAGAGAGTGACATTACACACATCGGAGATTGAAGAATTGACATGTTGCAAGAAAATCGCCTACGTCAAATCCGGGATTTGGCATTTTTCTAAGTGTATTGGATGAGTCGTCATAGTAAGTGCTCTGAGTGCGATTTTTTGGATATTCTTCAAAACCATATGACGAATGAGATAATGAAAAAAAGGAGACCCTCCACTACTTCGTACAAATCGGTGGGTACGTTGGCACACCCGCACCAATCCATACTTATTGGCTAATGCCAATATAGCATATTCTTGGATTAATAAGATTTGTCCTTTCCTCTTCTCCAAGTGTTACTTTCATCTCCCGGCTAAATTTCCATTAGGGTTTTGTTTGTTTAGCCGAAAATGATTTCCGAAGATTCGTTTCTCATATTTTTGAATGTTTCGTTATCGAAAAACGGAAAATCGTTTACAATAGCGCGCGCTAAAAATGAGGAAAACATTTTCTCTTTATTGGAGAGAGGAAATCATTTGCCCCGAGCATCCAATAGAAAACAGCTCGTCTCGCCCATGCAGACGCTTACACAAAGAACCTGTCATCAAGATTTTCTTCTTCTCTTCACAGCAGAATTCGAACTCTACTGTTGTTTCATGTTTTGTCAGACCGATATCAGAAACCAACTTCATATTCTCACGGGGCTCAACTAAATTACTGGATTTCTGGGCAACAAGTAGAGATCTATTGTAATTTATCTGAGCTTTTCTTGCTGATTAGAGTTTTCTTCTTTTCTTTTTCTTTTTGTGTTTTTGGTAGCATGTCATAGAGATTTGAGTTCATAGCATTCTATAACATAGAGTCAAATAGATGACAAAAGGTGTTTGCTACATCTTTTTCAAAAGTTAGCAATCTATGATTTAAAGTTATGTATGAAAACAACTACCTACATAAATAAGATCCAAACATTGAAAAACCACTTTCAGCTCATTTTCAAGTCAATCACCAAACAAGAAAAAACTCATCATCTTCCCTGAAATTAAATTCATCATAAAACATTTTCCTTAGACACGTAGTTCTTCGTGAAACAAACACAACTTAAGTTATGCCCAAAACTCATGTATAGGAACCACCAAATTGGTTGATCACGAGTTCAATTCGCGTCATGAAGGAGTCATTCAACGGCATGTGCCGCGTTGCCTAGCCAGAGTACATCTCGTGTGGATAGACTTCTTGGCTTTCGACATCTTTGTGATGTTGCAGTGAAGGGACTTGCTAATCTAGCATTTTCGTGTCGCCGGTGATGTTGAGTGACTATGGCCCGGTCCAGATGTTGAGTAGCAGGTGAAAGACCCTGGAAAAAAAAAAAAGCTCAAATGGGGAAATCATGGTCTAAATTCGTTCCACCACGTCAATTTCCGTACAAAGGAACAGTCATATATAATGTCCTATATCTATATGTTCAGCCGAATCTATAAAGTAGAGAGTCTTTCCTCATCACGTGCTTCGTCTTTGCGACTGCCGCACACCACCATTTCCACAAGAAACGACAGCCACATCAATTAGACATACCACAGACTTTTCAATCAGCCGGCGTTATCTTCACAATCACTCACTCTTTCCTCTGGTGGCACGTCCAAATTGGCCTATCTTTCTTCTCTGACTGAGCAATGATGATGGCTGCCGCGTATCACTTCGCGAAGGGCATGATTAAGCCGTTGGCCGCACTCGCCGTGGTGGCGATGGCAGTGGGGCTGTCCTACTTGCAGAAGCTGGGCTTGGAGAGGGAGATGGTCTACTCCATCTTCAGAGCTTTCCTTCAGCTCTCCGTGATTGGTTTCGTTCTGCAGTTCATTTTCAACCGCCAAAGCATCGCTTGGATCTTCTTGGCTTACATTTTCATGGTTTGCAACCTCTCCCTCCTCTGATCAGCTCTGTACTTCTTTTTTTCAGTCTTTTTCTCTTGGATTTCGCAAACGCTTGGTCGGTCTTGTTTTGGTTGGTTGTTGATGTGGGAGTTTTTCAGACATTCGACCCTCAAAAGCAAGACTTTTTCTTTTGCCCCAGTTATAGAAACTTCTCTGTATGTCTGGGACTCGTGCCTCTGTGTTGTCCTGTGCTATCAAAAAGTTGTCGGAAAATTCTCTTATCTATGAGTGTTGATCCAGCCGAATTCTATGGAGTCTCGACAAACCGATATCACCCAGGAAATGCAACAATATTTGTTTTCGATCAGTATAATCTGCACGGAACTATGAACTCGGTCGGGGCCGCAGTTTTCACCATAACTAGCAGGTAGAAATTTGAGACAAGATATCATATTTAACCCTAGCACAAGCATAGATAATTCCATTTCATTTATGTACCTGAAGATTTCGAGAGCTTGGGTTGCATCTAACATAGGTGGAAAATGTCATCCAAATCATAATCATGGAATCTCCCTCCTGCTTTGATTTCCGAGTCGATGAAAAATTATGTGAAAATTAAGGCCACTAATTGGAGTACTCTGTAATGGATTTGGTATTATGTGTTCGCAGAGATGTAATGTAAGCTAAACAGGTACAGAATCGGCCAGGGTTCTTTTTCCAGAAAGGCGACAAGTTGAAGGAGAATTTTAATGGAGCCATAGATCCTCATTCATTCTGCAACTTGCTTCCTATAAACCTTACATTTGAAGTCAATCAAAGGCACTTTATCGAAAGATTTCAGTGGCAGTTTTTTAATGGCAATAACATATTTTATATCGAGTTTTTTATCATCTCCTCGTGCAAGTACAAACCGGAAGCAATTTGTGTATGGCGTTCTCCTTATCGTGCAATTTTTTAGGAATTGATCAGGTGAACCAAGCAGGAAGTGAAAACAGGGCTTCCGTTGATTTTTTTCTTTGCCTTTTTCATTGATTGCAGATATGTATTGCCGGTTACACAGCAGGACAACGAGCTAAGCATGTGCCCAATGGCAAGTACATCGCCGGAGCCTCGATTTTGGCTGGAACTTCGGTGACGATGTTGATGTTGGTGCTGTTGCACGTATTTCCTTTCACTCCTCGTTACATTATACCAGTTGCAGGGATGATGATTGGAAATTCGATGACAGTAACCGGAGTCACCATGAAGCGACTTCGAGACGACATCAAGTCACAAATCAATCAGGTTCGCCGCCACAAATCATATTACCTTGTGATCTTTTTCTTCTCCTGGAAAATGTTCACTAAAACTTGTTGAGAAGATGATAAAGAAGGTTCTCATTGATGAATTGGATAAGAGGAATTACTTTGTCTAGGACCCAGCTCTTCCAAATAAACTTATCAAATCATCTTCATATAGATTTTTGCCTTTTTATAAGGAAAAATCTGGGTTACTTTCCCTAGCACTACGCTCTTTAACTAATAATTCATGAACTTTTTGATAGGTGGAGACAGCGCTGGCTCTCGGTGCGACCCCTGATCAGGCCATAACGCAACAGGTGAAGAGAGCGCTGGTGATTGGACTCTCGCCGGTGTTAGACAATGCCAAAACGGTGGGTCTGATCACGCTTCCAGGAGCAATGACTGGTCTCATAATGGGAGGCGCTTCGCCCCTCGAGGCCATTCAGCTTCAGATCGTGGTGATGAACATGCTTGTCGGCGCTTCCACAGTTAGCAGCATCACGTCGACTTATCTCACCTGCCCCGGTTTCTTCACCTATGCTCACCAATTACGAGTCTATGTCTTCTCTTCAGATTGAGATTGCATCATTTATGTTGAGAATATGATCGTTGATGCAAAAATCAAATCGAAGATCGATTGGTCGTTTTCTCACTGATACCAATTCGTAATTGCTTTTCTTATTATTCTTAACAAGAGGAGGCTGAGATTCATATGAAACTGAGAACTGTCGATGCAGATCTAGACTAGGAAAATGGAAAACAAAAACACACACACAAGAATATCAGTCAATGAACTACTTAGAAGATGCCCGTGATTTGATTAAACTTAAGTGGAACTTAATCTTCCATATGTGAGAATATTTTCATTATCTACAACAATTCAATGAAATCGATAAATACGACAAGCACAACCCAGCTTGATGGTGTCCCTTCACACGACCTGAATATAGCGCCCGCACTCCTTACCCAGCTGGCACGAGTTGCTTGTTGCGTTGTAGAACTTGGGCTTTGCTCACCCACAAGTGCCCATCTTAACCTAGAAGGTGTTCTCGGCGTGCTCCCGGTTGCAGTCCCACTGCAAGGGCGGCTCACTAACACCAGCTCTAACCTTGTTGGTGGGCGTCCAAGAAGTCGCTCGCCTTGGACGGGATCAGGCCCTGTTTCACAATGCCTAGGCTGGAGGACCGTGGGTTCTAAGCGGCAGCAGCTCGGATGGGCTTCGGTTTTCATACCGACACCACTTCTTGGAACTCTAGGACCGGAAGTACTCCGACCCTGTGCAGTGTTTGTCGAGTCGACAAAAGCCAGGACCGGTACGGAGGCGATCATTCCGGCTAGGAACGGAATTGTGCACGGGAACATCATCATAGGTTGTGTGACTAGGTCGAGCTGGTTAATGCTGTCATCATCCTAAAGCAGCTGAAAACAGAAGAGGAATGATTGTGAGGGTTCCACATGGTCAAGTTTCTGAATCACCGTGATCTTTTTCACCAAACATGTTCACCAGTCTTCAGTAGAGATTTCTCTAATTTCGGCTATTGTGGTTGGTAAAACAGACTGTCACTACACAGTTTTAGACACGAAAAATCTCTTAAATTTTATTACAAAGCAATTATTGCAACTAGAATATGGTTCCGTGCTTTATCTGAAACCTGAGAGCATATGTAGAACTCACATGATACGAGCACCTATGCTAATTATCGTAATTACCACCAATGATCTTCAAACACGAACCACTAACTACTAATGATAATGTCTTTCGCTGTGACCATATCGGATTTTTCAAAAAAAAAAATTCCATTTATCAAATTGTTACAGAAACTGGTTAGGAAATATAATGATTTTTCGATGGAGGCCACATGTGTCCAAAATTGGCATTCTACATATAAGGGCCGATGACATTTAGATGGTTGATCAATGGGTTAATATCACGGAAAATTTCTAGTATAACTGTGATAAATTTACCTCAAATTAATATTTTGATCACCAAAAGTCATAAATTGGTACACATGTGACAAATTTACCCCAAATTAATTTTTTGACCACAAAAAATCCTAAAAGGGTACATTTATGACAAATTTGCCCTCTGTTAGTTTCCGATAAATTGGATTAATATCCCGAAAAAACGCAAACCGATACACTTGTGACAAACGAAAGGTAAAACCTAAAACTGGTACACCCATCAACGACCATGTATCATCCAACTCAACAACTAATAGATGGTAAATTTGTCATAGATGTACCGATTTAGGATTTTTTGTGGTCAAAAAATTTGTTTGAGGTAAATTTATTGTGAGTGTATCAGTTTAGGGTTTTTCGTGATATTAACCATTGATCAAATACATAAAAGCCTCCATTTAGGGTCCAAAGCCTAGTGAAAGAAGGAACTGCCTTTTAGGGCTTTGGCATGTCAATCTTGATCCAATTAAACTGTGATGAGGTAAATAGAATGACAACTTGGGTTGGTAAATCTCAGTAGCATGAGCTATGATTATGTACCAAAATATTACCTTGTTAAGCATTTAAATATCTTATTTATCCATCTGGAAGATAAAAAAGAAAACTGCAGATTTAACCCTACCAACTTAGGGGCATTGAAGGATTTTTAGCTCGTGGACCGAAGGTCATCCAATGGTATATTATCAATTGCATGCAAACAGTTTTGGATGAGTGCCATCTACATAGGCCAAATTTTGGTCTTTGGCAATTTAACCGGCTCATGGGATAAGGATTTGTAGGGTGTTTCAAGGGCCATCAAGTAACGAGTCTTGACACGGTGTCCCGGGATTAAAAAAGAAAGGACAGATAGATTAAAGTCCACTTGCACATTCCACATAAATTGGAAGACCATTTAGCTCTGGTTGGTTGCTTGAAGTGAGAAACCAATGACCTAGATATCCACAATGGCAATCAACTGCGTATCACAAGCCACTGGTTCAGGCCAATCTAAAAGTTGGAACTCCGAACTCTCACGTTTAAAAGGCTGCTGTATCCTCATAATTCAACTGTTGTCTGTGCAGAAATGTTGAGAGCGGTTAGTGACTTAGATAATGCACTGCGAGCACCCCCGTCACTAAGAGTGTGTCTGCACAACTGAGGCCTCTTTGCAATGGCATTTTCTTCCATACACGCTGCGTGTGCCACGAAGCTAATCTCTCCGAGCGAGATGGACTACGAGAGTTTTACAATTCCGCAAGTGGTAAACGCTGATGGTTCAAATCCGTTAATCCCAGCACCTCAAAGAAACAAGATATGGAGTTGCTCTGCAACGTGAAAGAGAACAAGACAAGTTACCGGTAGAAGTGAGAATAAGGTGGAATTGTACTTCTTTGGGGTTGAAGAAGGCATGTGACCAGAGGGAGATGCTCACATTGTTGTTTTCCACCCGCTATGGAGCAACTGCTGGGTTACGGCTATTAACCCAACAAGATTGGAGGGTTAGGGAACCTTTTAAGGTGTTCAATGATGCAACAGAGGCCCTGTCCACAAGTGATTATCCATCGAGCAACCAAGCTTTGTCATTCACGTTCTTCATTTCGATGGAACTTTCTAAGGTGAAGATTGAAAAGGTCGGTGAAGACAACGCCGGCGTTTTGTGGTGGTGGAAGGCTAAAGCTTCGCATTTTCCTATTCTTTCCACCGTGGCCCATGACATGCTCACCCATCGGCGCAACTCTACCTTCCAAGTGCACCTCTAATACTAGCTTGGAGACAAGAAAAGGCTTGTTGTGATCTCAAATTTTGCCGTCATTGTCGCAAATTCTTTAAGTTTAAGCTAGGGTTGATTGAGATTTGACAAAGATTGAACGGCGAGATACAAGGCTCAAAATACATTCTAAATATGAAAAAAAAAGAAGGCTTCTACACGTTGCCACCTCAATCCGATAATCAACTTTTGACCCTTCACGAACTGGTCGCCGTTTTCGAATGTCGGAAAGTTCGCGATTTTCCGATTTAGATTGCACATCCTGAAACCATACAGTGCAAAGCATCCCAATGCAACAAAACTTGAATTGGACAAATGTCGGACGAGTGAGCAATTATTGGTCAAACATTAGTCTTTTTTTTGTTTGGTAAAGGTGGTCAAACATTAGTCAAACCATCCAAAATCCAAAAGAAAGATCCCATAACCCAAAATTGTACCTAGAGGTCTCGGAATCGAAAGAAACTTTCCAAACCTATAAGTTATGGTAAATTACGAATTTTAAAATTGAAAAGTCACCGAAACGATGCCCGCTTTATAGACTAAGCTTTAGGCCCCAGTGTGGATTGAAATCTTGGATCCAATATTTCACCATTTCACTCAACACTATTGGGCTCATTCGAAAATCATAAACACACGTCAGGCGAAAGAGATACAGGCCTGGAGAGAGCAAGCCTCGGCTCGAGGTGCGTCACATCATCTTGAGGCGACCGCGCCTCTTCTTGAGATGGTTCGAAATGCCAATATAAAACTTGGCTGCATTGAGTAGGTGGTGAGTATATTCCTTTATCTCTTGCTCTCGAATTTCTCCCAAATTGAATGCACTTCTCGAGTTTCTCTTGTTTTTGCATGTGTTTTAGTCCGTGTAAATACCAAGACCCTCGCACTTGCAATACAAGTCTCGACTCCATCATTTTCAAATTCGTATAGATATGCATGCTAGGACATCGTAATCTCTAAATAGCATCGATATGTTGCCCATCTAATATTAAAAAGAATATGCATGTTCTTACGCCATTGTAGTACATATTCTCCCTCTGAATCTGGTGTGTTGAACTCTTTCATGCCTAGCTTAATATCGATGGATTTGCAACATTCATCTGTTACCAAGGATACTGATATTTACATTGGAAAGAGTGGATTGTTGCGAGCACTGGCAAAAAAATTTCATAAGCTTAGGATCACTCAACTTCCATGAACACTCTGTTAAGGTTTTAACAAGTGTTCATTCTTATATGATTTTGACATCATCAGAGAGATATATTCACATTATTCTCTCTCCTATCTCCCCCTCTCTCTCTGTTCCTCGTGCTTTTGCTCACCCTAGCACCAAACTTCCAACCACACTGGCTTGACTAGGGGTGTGCAAAAAACCCAGGACCGCCCAGGACCGCCCGGGACCGGACCGGAACCGGTGGTTCCCAAGGGGACCGGTCCGGTTCCCGGTTCCAATTTTTTGGAACCGGTGGGTATCGGTCCGGTTCCCGGTTCCCGGTGTGGAACCGCCCACCCGCCCACCCGGACCGGACCGGTAATATAATAATAATATATTTATTTTTTAAAATTTTAATTAAAAAAATCTGACCAAAAAAAAATAAAAAAAACGTAACTAGACACTCATAACTCTCTGCTCTCTTATCTCTAGACACTCATTTGATGGGTACCCACTTGATTTATGGATGATGTGGTTAATAGAACCGATCATAGTATAGGAATTGTATGGAAAGTTATGTTCTTTTCTTTTTGTTCCATTGATCCGATGTTGGTCCACATATTTTTTTTTATTTGTCAAGGAAAACTTGGTGGGACCGGTTCCATGGACCCGCCCGGGAACCGGACCGGACCGGCGGTCCGGTTCCCGGGCGGGTCCATGGAACCGACGGGCGGTCCTCGGTCCCAAAATTGAGGACCAACACTGTGCGGGTTGGTCCTAGGGTTAGGGGGTGGACCGGCCCAACCCGGACCATGCTCACCCCTAGGCTTGACACAGGATCACAATGGCAGGGAGAGAGTGAGGAGTTGATGTGGTGGGGATTAGGTTTAGGAATTATCTGGGTGTGACCAGTGAGGTACGACTCAAATACTACTGTCGATTTTCTAATAGAAGGCCCATGTCAAATTGGATGGTCCCGTGATCACGACCACCCAAGCAATGCCAAACAGGGTGTAGGTGCAGACTCTTCAGAATTCGATTATGCGCCTACTTCATTCGAGGGTCATGCTTCAAACCTTCATAAACTCCATAGACAAGATGCCGACACTTCCATGACCTCTGCATTTTCTTTTAAACATAAAGAGTTACCATTAGAACGTTTGGCACTGGTCGCCGGCGGCGAACTCTCCCAGAGTCCCCTGTCTGCCCATGCCGTATAATTACAAATTCACTCAAGTCAGTCTGGCTCTCAAAGATGACACCAAAGAAATGGACAACGTGGGGTTGTACCTAGGACCTCTCACTTCGTGAGGCAGCGGCGCGAAACCTATGGAGACCCAGCCACACTATGTCAAACAACTCCCAAGAAGACAGTGCCAACTTCCCTATCTGCCATTGTGGTTCAGGAGGATTAACTTCACAAAGAATCAGAAGACAACATATAAAGGTATCTACAAGTCCACTTCAATGAAAGATGATTCAATCTCCCAAATATTCTGCAGTGATTTTATTGAGGACAAGAATGGCCATGGGTTGCACCAAGAGAACTAAATGATCAGCCACCCAAATTCGTAGGGAGTTACAGATGAGATTCCACAAACAGAACAACGTTGCAAAGGCAAACCTAGTATAGCAGGTACTATAGTGCCACCTCATCAACACATTGGAAAAAGGTACACTAGAAACTGATCTGAGACAAATCAGGGCAGATTAAATTGTGCATGAAGAGAAAAAAATAAGATGTATAAATTCATGACAGAGAGAGAGGGGCGTTCTTGGATTGATTACCTGACGATGTTGCCCCACATTGTCCTTGCAGAATCGATCATACATATAGGATACTGCTGAAAATCCCCCCACCTGCAAGACTAATGAATTTCTTCTCAACTCTTGTCAGCTTAAAAAGAATTCCGATTATGAACATAATATGCTAGCGCGACTTCAATACCTGGCGGAATAATTCTAGACTGTACTAGAACATCAGCTCTTCAGAAAAAGATGGCCTTAACCATTCAAAGCAGGGCCCTCCAGGTTCATTTTCCTAGTTGGGATCGGAGCTTCTAATGGCGCGATTAAAATTATCCAACTCTTTCGAGGTCGAACCATATATTGCTTTGATGGTGTCTCTGCAGAAACTGCATGCCTCCTTGTTGAACTTCTTCTTATCAATTCCGTATAAAGACTTGAAAACATCCTCCTCGACCCGACAGAAATAGGGACGGTCTGCAAAATGAAGTTAAGAGTTTCATGCCAGAACCACTCGACGCACTCTCCGTCCCATTTACCGCCGTTGTGAAAGGAGTAGTTACCCGGATAAATTGAGCATTTGCGTGTGCTTTTCTCAAAGTGTACACACCATCCATCCGGACCTATCATGCTTCTGTAAAGCTGAAATCGCAACAACAAAACAAAAAGTCACGCAAACATTGTCATAGTGAGCTCAATGATGCATGTCGCAGTTGCACATAAAACAAGCGTGCAATGCGGTAGAGGTGAGAACACAACGCGATGCACCAAATGAGGTTCTTCTTTGTTATGCTAATATATCAAAAACTAGTCCCCGCTTTTCTCTAACTGCTCAAATTTTTAGAGCAAACAGTCGCACGCTCACCACAGAACCTCGAGCGAATGTTGAACAGAACACACAATGTACCAAGCAAACTCACTGGAGGAGGTTTAAATTTGCACCTGATGAATCTACCATCATGTTACTACTCTGTGAGTCATTTCATCAAACAGCTGGTGTGCACGCGTGATGCGAATGAGAAGTCAAAAACCAGACCTCGATGTCACCAGGGTTGTCGAAGATCTCTTCGGGAGTGACGAAGGATGGGCCCTTGTCCAGCTTGCAGCACGCGCCGCAGTTCTCCACGCACCGCCACAGAGGCTCTTTCTTCTGGCGGCCGAAGCCGGCGAAACTGGCGCTGTTGCTGCTTCGTTTGGTCTTCGACGCCGTCTTGGTCTTCGGCCGTGGACGGCGAGTGGCCATGTTGATCGTGCCGAGGCACAAACTCATCGACGTCGACATCGTGCCGGAGTTTTTCGACAAGAGGATTGAATCTAATATATCCTTCTTGTAGCCCGACCCCAACGACGGCACAGGTGAAGATGAACAGGTTGTCGTGGAAACAAAAAACGTTGGTCATTTATTTCATGAAAAATATTTTTCATTCATTTGAAAAAACTCCTTTAAAAGTACGGAAAATATTTTTCGCTTTTCAGAAAGGGAAAAATATCTTATTTTTAGTTATTTAAAATTTTTATTTAAATTTTTTTCTCTTTTTCTTTTATTTTTTTTTTCCTTTTCTTTCTTTCTTCTTCTTTTTGCTTCTTTCTCAATCGGTTGCCGACCTCTAATGCCTCGGCTTGAGATCCCAGCGCAGAGCCCTAGGATCCCCGTGCCCGAGACCAAGGATCCGGCTGATTGTGGTTGGATCTCCGATAGACATGCCCAGGTCCCGGCAACCGTGTCAAGGTATCGAACTCCCGCACCCGAGTGACTACCACCCACGCCTAGATCCCCCAAGGTCGGGATAGAGTTCTCGGTGGTCAAGCCTGGGTCCCTTGAGGCTAGGCCGAGGCCCCGATGCCCATGCTCGGGTCCTCGGGGTTTGGGACCTTGCAATTATGCCCAAGTCCTTGGCGCTCAAGCTTGGGACCGAGCCCATGTCCCTTGAGTTGGGCCCGAGACCTAGGCCCTCGGGCTTCGGACCCTCGTACCCATGCTTGATTCCCTAGAGATCGTGCCTCGGTCCTCAAGCCCTGGGATTGTACTCAAGATCCTTTTTTTTTTTTCCTAACGTGTGTTTCCATGACTATCTTAAAAACAAACATTAGTAAATAACTTCCATATTATTTGCAAAATACAATTAAATATTATAAAATCATTTTCATCGAAAACAAGTTCTTTTAAAAATATTTCCAAGCAGAGTTCATTTTTCAGTAAGTTAAATGACCTACCATCCACGTACAAACACGATGGCGCAATACCATCTCGCATCAAATCTCACCCTCTCATCAGATGTCAGCCATCTTAATTAGAGCAAAAGGGATTAACTTGGACAGTTCCACCCCCTGGAAATTAGACAAACACTGTCTCTTTGAGCTTTTACATTTGTCGTGGTACGAAAGGAGAAAAAAACAGACTACAAAACAACCAATAAACCAATTCAAACAGCCATTGTCTTCAAACCAGTCTTATTATTACTTTCACTTCCTCTTGTTCTTGCTCCCCAACAAGAGCGTAAAATAAAACAGGATCCTGAAGAAGAACCCCCACGCGATGGTGATCCACAGGCAATTCCACTTGCTGATGTCCGTGATCCCCTGCGACTGCAGTATGTCAACTCCGGTGGTCACGCACGTCGACCCGGTCAGGTTCATGCCCAGGGTGTTGCCCATGTTCGTCAGCAGCCTCAGCTTCAGGGCCTCTGGTACCGCGGCGAGCGGGGTGTTGTCGAACATCTGCACCCCTCGCACGAAGCACTTGGCCGGGTGGTCGAACTCGTTCTGGAGCACGGCCTCGTACGGGTACTTCACGAGCGAGAGGTAGTGGAACCATATCCAGTAGAGCGGGATGCGGTCCCGCGAGATGAAGAAGCCGCTGAAGAGCAGGAAGTAGGCGAGGATGGCGACGACGATGGTGAACCCGAGCATGACGTGGGAGACGACCCCGGACAGGAAGGTCACGAAGGAGCTCCCTGCCCAGAAGGACGCGACGACAGCGTAGAAGAAGAACATGAACCCCGAGAACCCGCCCGCGAGGCCTACGGGCCAGAAGGTGGTGGCCGCGAAGGCAAGGGCGAGGATGACAAGGGAGGGGACGGAGATGATGGAGTGGGCGAGGACGTAGGAGGAGCGGCGGTACGCATTGTACGCGGTCTCCCGCATGAAGATGTAGCGCTCCTGGAGGAAGACTGGGATGGCCTCCGCGCAGGTATAGAAGGTGGTCGACATGGCGAAGGCGAAGAAACCGAGCCGCTCCTGGACGCCCTTCGGGGAGTTGTCGAGGTGGCGGAATATGGTCGCCAGGATTATCCCTGTGACCATGACAGCACCAAACCTGATCCCATAGAGCTCCGGCATCCGCCGGGAGTTGGTCAGCGACCGCTTGGAGATCACCAGCATCTCCATCCAGAACGGATTCGCGAAGGTCGGGACAGAGGCGACTTGGCTCGAGTCGCCTCCGCTGCCACCCGAGACAAGCTTGCCCCTCGAGACACTCGCGCTGATGGCGTCCTTGAGCGAGGGTTTCGGTCCTGTCCACGTGACGTTGCGGTTCTGGAGGATCGATGACTGTCGATTCACTTCCCACGACTTGTTGAATTCCACCATGCTCTTTGTCCCGCCGGGAGTCTCTTCGAGCTCGCGGATCAAGTCAAGCGCAAACTCGGTCCGGTTCTCGTTCTCTGGGATTGGATGCCCGAAATCGGTGAAGAACTCGGGCAAGTTGGCCGGCGTGCCATTGAAGACCGTGTTCCCATGAGAGAGGAAGATCAGCCTGTCGAGGAGGCTCATTATCCGGTAACTCGGCTGGTGAATTGACATGACCACGATACTCCCACTCTGGGCAATCCGCTGCAGTACCTTCACCACCATGAAGGCGCTCGTCGAGTCGAGGCCAGAGGTTGGCTCATCAAGGAACAGGATGATCGGGTCGTGGATGATGTCGATGCCGATGGAGACGCGCCGCCGCTCTCCGCCAGATACGCCGCGGTGGCCTTCATCGCCAATCACTGTGCCCGCAGCATTCCGAAGGCCGAGCTGATCAATCAGTGCCTGGACCCGCGCCATCTTCCGTGACTTGGAGAGCGAGCGTGGGAGCCGGAACTCGGCGGAGAACATGAGCGTCTCCTCCACCGTCAGCATCGGGAAGAGGAGGTCGTCTTGCATGACATAGGCTGATATCACCTTCAGGAGCCGCGACTCTAGAACCTCGCCGTTCAGCGTGATGGCCCCTCCAAGGCTCTCCTTTGAGATCCGGTCTGCGAGGGCGTCGATGAGCGTCGACTTTCCCGAGCCACTCGCGCCAAGGACGGCCATTATCTCTCCTTCCCTGGCCTCCGCGGAGATGTCGTTGAGCAAGACCTTCGTGCCGGCCCGCCCTGGCAAGTCCACACCATCGGCGGACTTCTCTCGGCCGAGCAGTGATGAGAGGCCCAGCTTCCCGGGGACGTTGACGCTGTAAGTCAAGTTCTTGAAGGAGAGCACGAAGGGATAGGCCGTCGGCGCGGAGATGGAGGAGGACGCCAAGGAGATCACCTGGAGGACATGGCTAGACGGCGTTGAAGGCGTTTGGTCGCCGACTTGAGCTTCTTCAACCCTCCTCAGGAGCTCGGCGAGGGTCGAGGAGGAGCCATCGGGCCTGGCTTTGTGAGAGAATCCTTGGAGCTCGACCCGCTGGTTCGGAGTGAAGAGGGGCAGGTTGTCACCAGCGAGGGGTTTGGGTTTCGCCGACGACATCGCTGGCGGCGGCGGCGGCGGCGGCGGTGGCCACAAGAGGGGTGCGTGAGGGATGATTTATTCTTGGGGTTTAGTTAGAGAGACGCCGGCGTAGAAATGCTTTATAGAGAGTAAAAGAGAGAATGTAAAGGGAGGATAGTGAGGTTTGGTGATTCAAGTGTCCAACCGGTGTCTAACTTGTTATAGTAGGTGAGAAAGTTGTGCTTGCAGATTTCTATCGCTAGCTGCATCCCTCTCTTCCTTCGTTTGATTTCGACCGAATGCATTGCATGAAGAGATGACCTGAGGCGGGGCGAGAGAGACCTGAGATACGTGTATTGAAAATTCTAAAACTTATCACGAAAGTGCAATTGAGTCACGAAACTTTTAAAAAGTGTAATTAAATCTTAAAACTTGTTACGAATGTGCAAATTGAGTCCTAAAATTTTCAAAAAGTGTTAATGTCAAGTCTTGAAACTTGTAAAATTGGTTCAATCAAGTCCTTTCGTTGATTATACTTTTTGAATGTTTTTAAGACTCGTGACAAGTTTTAGGACTTTCAGTATACTTATTCCTTTATTTTTTAAATTTAATGCTTTAGAAGATCTAATTCGGCAGAGATGTGTTAGAATTTGTCTTAACATGATGATGCTTCTTTTCGAGAAGAAGTGTATGATAAACATAGAAGTTTTTCTCTCTACTTTCTTTTCTGAATGAATATAAAAGCATATATAATCGGACAGAGAAAAAACTACCAAAAAACTATTCTAGGCTATGCACTATCTTAGGTTAAGAATCTGGTCGATCCTCCAAATAAGGACATTTTGCAATGCAATTTTAGCAACTAATCAGCCCTACGATTTCTCCAATTAGTCTTAATTGACAACTTACGCCAACAGTGTATATTTGATGCTCTTCTTCTCCTTTAGGGAATTTTGCTGGTGAAAGTATATTCCTTTCAGGAGAAAACTCATTTAATGGATTCTTTTCGGCTCCCGTGGTACAGTATTTAATGATGGTATATAGTATGTGCAAGAAGAAAGCTGTCTTAGCGAAACATGACATGAACACCTTGAGTGAAGATCCCATGCACTGTGTCAAACTCCTCTCGATGTCTCGACAAATTCCAACCGTTGATAAGTACCCCATTTACATTATTCAACGATGATGATATACATCAATGAATCACGATGAGTGATAGACACAGTCTAGTAGACCTCGTTTCATTGTAGCAAATCGGTGCAACATAAGTAATGCCTCAGAAATTTCTGTATGCCTAAATGCATATCCATTGACAAACGACAATTATTGGGTCGGTGGAGTCCTAAGCATGTATCCAAATGTTGTTCCTCCAATTAGTTGCCGAATATTTGAGTCCTCAAATGTACAACCTTACAGATAGCATCAGGGGGACCATAGGTTCACAAGCATGCAACCTTAAATTTCACATGGTGCATCAGTATCTTATAGACTGTTCTTAGTAAACAATTCTTATACCTCGGATTTTTAGGCGAATGAGATATAGACATTTCATTCGAAAATTTCGTGTCAAGAGGTGATGAAAATTCAATAAGGATCGAATTAGGTAACTAGCGGCCAAGAGAGGCCACCACCGCCAGCTCCTCGGGTCGGTCTCGGCGGTAGCCTTTCACTGGGATTAGAAGTTAACCCACACAACACAAATCTTTCCCTTTCGTAGTTT